TATATTTGCCTATGTACATGTCTTTATCTAGACCTCTATAAATGCCCTTTGCTTCCCAGCTCTTTCCTCTATTTCCCTTGATTTTCCTCCTGTCCCACTATCATGCTCAGTCCCCACCAGGGTTTCACCAAGGCTGTAAATCTTTTCAGCAGCAGAAAGCATTCTTTTTCTGCAGAGGGGCTGTGCAGCTAACAGCTCAATGCATAACCCACTATGCCACCACCGCAGGAAATGGCACATAGGGTTTCTGAAGCTGTGCTCTTTATGGGAGCAAATAGCTACATCTTGCTCATCAGAGGCTGATTGATGGATTCCATCCACTGGGCCTTAGGTTAGCCGTTAGACTAGCTTTAACCAATTGTGCCACCACGGATCCTTAACGTAACACCAATCCAACTGTCAGTGAGTTGATTCCCACAGGTGGGGTTTCTGAGACTGTCAATCTTTACAGCTTCACCTTTATCCGCCCTTAGGTTAGCCGTTAGACTAGCTTTAACCAATTGTGCCACCACGGATCCTTATCGTAACACCAATCCAACTGTCAGTGAGTTGATTCCCACAGGTGGGGTTTCTGAGACTGTCAATCTTTACAGCTTCACCTTTCTCCCTAGGGGTGGCTGGTGGGCTTGAACCACCAACTTTCTGGTAAACAGCCCAATGCCTAGCCCACAGTGCCACCAGAGCTCTTTACATTTCATCGACTGGGCTCTGAAAAAGACTGCTTGTCATATAAACTTCACAAAGGCCCTCCACAAATGAGAATGGTTTTAATAATTTTATGGGCACAGTTCTTTTACACTAGACAAGAAAGGAACACAATATTGGTTCTCAAAAGCAAACTATTTCTTTTCTCCTGGTCTGCAAGCTTAGCTGTTCACCGGTGCTTCCAAGCTCTACAACACAAGGGAGTCCAGCAGACACACTTTTCCCACCGCTACTCTGCGTCCAGCAGGAATAACTAAATCTTTCCAATAACAGCCGAGAAACCATAGGTTCATTCGATTCGTGGGAGTCTCACCATTCCCACAACACCCTCTGGAATGATTAAAACAGTGCATGTTGTTGTCAGCTGTGTTGATGTCGTCCCGACTCCTGGCGAACCCCACGTGCAAGTTGCCATAATTTTATTTCTTAGCTAAAGCTTCAAGTTACACTACACGTGGCAAAACACTAAAAAAACTAACGTTTCTACTTTGTAGAAACTGCCCAGTTGGAGCGGGGGAAGGCATATAAGCTTATTAACACTGCATATTATCATTCTCATTACCAGACACCTTGTCTTCACTGAGAAACCTAGGACGTGCCAGAGTCAAAATGTTGTGTCAGGGTGGTGAGAAATGTCAACAACAGGAGTCCACAGGGACCTGAGAACTTTGAACCAGAGTCATCTGGAAGCCCGGGCCTCCCCTCCGACTACACTACCAACCCACACAGCAAGCAAACAGCGCGGTGGCTCGCTGTGTTTCCGGCCCCAGAGGACAGTTCCGGCGAATGGAGGTCCAGCTTTGTGTCCTTCCCACAGACTGCCCGGCCGTGCGGGGAGTGCGATCGGGGCTGCGGGCGACTGGGAGCCCAAGCAGGCCCGGCAGACAGGCTGCCCCGTGGCCGAGGAGCGCGACCGCGACGCTCGGGCGCTCCGGTGCGGCCCCTGGAAACAAAAACAACCCAGCAGCCCCCGAGCCAGGGCCAGAACACAGCCGCCTTCCGCTCCGAGGGGGCAGCGGCGAGGTGCGGGCCCGCGCGTCCGATATGGAAACCGGCTCGGGGGGAACCGCGCCGCGCTTCCCGCAAACCCTTCAGCTTCCGGCCTCCGGGTGGTGGGGCCCCCCCGCGCCCTCCCTTCGGTGGCCCGGCGTGCTGCCTTCCTTCCCGGACCGCTGACCCCTGACCCTGCCATCTCCAACCCTACCAAGGTGGGTTCTCCAAGACTCTTGAGCCTCTCAGCACCAACGCCCTGGTCCCTCGAAGGCCTCCGCGGTTGCCGGAGTCGCCCTCGCCATTCACAGAGCACTCACTCGGGGTGAGACGGCGCGCTTTACGCCGGTTTGGATCAGGGTTCCTGAGCAGCCCAGCAACCAGAGTTCCCAGCTGCCGGGCGCGCGCGAGAGCGTGGGGTCACGACGAACGCGCACGACGGGGTCGCCACGCCTCCCTTCTCGCGCTGTCGCTTCAAAAATGCCTTCTGCGCAAGTCCACTGGGTTAAAACCCAGCTAGGGCTGCAGTTCAAGTCTCGCGATAGTTTTGAGCATCTGTATCGACGCGATTGGCTGGAACCACGGCGGAGGAGGCAGGGCTATGCAGATATGGGCGTGGCTTTCCCCAAAGCCGCCTATTCTCACCCCAGAGCCGCTTGTCTAATAAAAAGTCAGAAACAATAACTTGCAAAAGCTTCTGTTATATTGCTTACAGGAAGCGGTCACTTACTAAGTACGGGTGGTGAAGTTTATCTCCTCAAAAACTTAAAGACATTTTTTTTTGAAGGTGAATGTTAGCGATCAACGATATGCATTCTGCTGAAGCTGCTTTTGCAATGTAGTAGTCGTGCTTCACCTTCCCTTCACTGACTGGTAGCTTCTTCCTCATCGAGACGTAGCCAACTTTGGACTCATCAGAGAGCCTCTAGGACCCGAGGCCACCCAGGCAATGGCACCGAGAGAAGGGCAAGCGCTCCATGCGTGTGCCTGATGGACTCAGACCTGCGGACTCACACCCAACTGTGCGATCTTAGAACACAAAGTAGTTTTTGGCTCAAAAATATATTCGTTTTAGTGGCGGAGAGAGTGGTACCTAGCCTACTTGGGCCAGAAAGTTACCATAGATCGTGGTGAAACATTTAGGTTGTAAATGATGCTTTGGGAGATTTTTCAGAATTGTCTTTAAAGTGTAAGTGCAAAGTTAGCACTGGGCGTACCTTGTTGTTATTTAAAAAATAAATTACAAATGAGTATTTTGAGGCATTCATTTTTCTAGGATCCTTGGTGGTGTATTGGTTAAGCATTCGGTTGCTAACCAAAAGGTCGGTGATTTGAACCCACCTGCTATGGGGGACCAGCCTGGCCACAGCTGAATGGGTCCAAGGGGCGATTGTGTAATTGAGGGGTAAATTAAAGAGACATCCGACAAGATGCAGCATACAAGGACTTATCTCTTCCATGATGACCAGAACGAGAATGAGACTGAACTTTATTCTCTCACAGGCTTGCATCATCTCAGATAAGCAAGTCACACACGGTAAACTCAAAGGTAACAGGAAGGGGTTGTACAAAAGGTATACCATGAGGGGGGTGAGCTAAGGGCATACACACAATAGGAAGGGAAGGCACTAGAGGCAGGCACTAGAGGCATACATGTGACAAGAAGGCACATATGTAACAAGATAGGCAGACTCTAGAATCACGATGATAGTCTAACCTTGGTCGTCACTGAGTTGGCTTGATCTTAGATGTCCCTGAGCTCTCATCTTGATCCCACGTCTCTTTGTATAGTCTAGCTTCTTTGGTTATTTGCTCAGCATACAGATTGAGTAAGTATGATGAAAGGAAACAATGCTGACACACCTTTTCAGATATTAAACCATGTAGTATTCCTTTGTTTTGTTTAATGGCCTGTGTACAGGTTCCAAATGAGCACAAGGACGTGCTCTGGGATTCCTCCCATTGTTATCCTGTTACAATCCACAAAATTGAATGCTTTGGCATAGTTAGTAAAAGACAAGTCAGTATCTTTCTGCTCTTTGTTTCAGCCAAGAGCCATCTGTTATCAGCAATATCTCTCATTTTGTACCCTCTGTTGAACCCAGCTTGAATTTCTGGCAGCCCTCTGTAAGTAGATTGCTGCAACTGGTTTTTAAAATATCTTCAGCAAAGTTTTACAGTGATTTCAGTATTGTGCTGAGTCACCTTTCATTGGAATGAACAAACTTACAGATCTCTTCGAGTTGGTTAGCCAGGTAGCTGGCTTCCAAATTTCTTGGCACTGACTAGTGAGTTCCTCCAGCCCTGCCTCTGATTGTTGAAAGATTTCAATGGGTATTTTGTCATTTGTTGTTGGTGTTGTGGGCTGCAAGTTAGGCTGCTAACTGCAACGTCATCAGTTTGAAGCCATGACCTGCTCCCCGGGAGAAAAATGAGGCCTTTTTGCTTACGTCGAGATTTTCCAACCTGGAAAGCCCATAGTGGCAGTTTTACCTTATCCTATAAGGTTCTTGGAGTCAGAATGGAGTCGATGGCATGAGTTTGAGAGTTTTTGATTTTTACCAATGCCTCCAGCACAGCTTGGATTTCTTTGTTCAATAGCATTGGTTCTTGATAACATTCTGCCTCTTGAAGTGGTTGAACATCTGCTGGTTCTTTCTGGTACGCTAATACTACATATGCCTTCCATTTTCTTTTTATGTTTCCTAGGTGCCCTGGTGGAGTGGTAATTATCATTGGGCTGCAATCCACACGGTGGGCCATTCGAAATCACCAGCAGCTCTGAGGAGGAACCGGGCTTACAACTGCCGTAAACAGAGACAGTCTTGGAAAGCCGCGGCTGGGTGGTTATGAGTCAGCATTGACACGATGCTAGTGAGAAAGAGAGCTGGGAGGAATGGAGTCCTGGGAGTGCCCCCAGATAGGACATTCCACACTGGTGCCTCCCAAATGGCTTTCAGGGATCGAGTCTGAACAGTCAAATAAATGTCACACTCCACAAGATACAGAATCGTGGGCAGTATCTACTCCAGTCATCCACCTTCTTTCTGTGGGAAGAACGAACCTTCAAGGTTGAAACTGTAGGATGACCAGAAAGAGGAGCCAATGTAAGAGTGTGTGCAGGAAAGCAGAATGACTATGGCTCTTGGCAGCAGGATCAAGCAGTGTGCGTTAGTGAAAATGGTGCACTTTTTGTAAAGGGAAAAATATTAAAAAGACTAAGCAGTTACCTGCAGTCACTTCTAGGTCTACTGTCACGTTTGACGTTGAAGTTGTGACTCTAGGAACCATCAATAATAGCGAAAGCCAAAACTTCGAGTTTCAAGTCACTATTAGCACCAATAATAGAGATGTGGCTTTTGATTGCCTGCTTGATCAATCCCGCAGTTCTTTTCACGTTGGATGCTCATTTTTCTATCCTGGCTGGAAAGTGTTGGTATTTTAGATTCTTGGAATGATTGGCTTTGGTTTTTCAGAGTTTTTAATGCCCCAGCGCTCAGCCCTGCAAATCGGTAATTGATGTAAACACTTGGATTCATCTCTTAAACTACTGAACTGGCAATTGTGTGCTGGGTTCATTTTTAAAATATTTTAGTGAGGGAACCGATTACAAGGAACTATATGGGACCTCCTCCCTGGGGGACGGACAACAGAAAAGTGGGTGAAGGGAGACGTCGGACAGGGCAAGATATGACAAAATAACAATTTATAAACTGTCAAGGGCTCATGAGGGAGGGGAAAAATGAGGACCTAATGCCCGGGGGGTTTAAGTGGAGAGGAAATGTTTTGAGAATGATGAGGTCAATGAATGTACAAATGCACTTTACACAATTGATGTGTGTATGGATTGTGATAAGAGTTGTATGAGCCCCTAATAAAATGATTAAAAAAAGAATATTTTAGCAATAAGATACTACAATGTTATGGACAAAGCCAATACACAGTTGAGGTTATTTTTAGCATAATGTTAATCGAAAAATCCCCTCACTATCAAAAGAAAATGGTCTTAAAAGTATGAATAGCTACAGAAAGGTCTGTATTGTTTTGCTGTCCTTTTCTTTTTAAGTTGATTACTGTACAGCTTACTGTAAAGATTACTAGCGTTTACTGTGAACCAAAGTTCCTCCATGTTTGCCCCCAAGCTGACCCTTACAAAGGTCTGCCCCAAGGCTGACCCTGCACAAGTTCTGCACAAATGGGAAAGAATGTACCTTTGTCAGAAACCAGCGGACCAAGAATGGTGAGGACCACAAGAGAATCAGCGAACCACGAATGATGATGACTGAAAATGACTATCTGGAGCTTTCATGCCACCAACCGATCAAGAAAACCTCAGCTGGTATTTTCTACTCCAGAGGGGCCAACCCCAGTCCTCATTTCTGTACAGTATCTAAGGGCACTAGTCCCTGAGCTTGGGCCTGATGTGTGTTACAGCCTCAGCCTGGGTGGATGCACTGTTCTGCCTCTGCCTGTCTGCACCCAGTTGAGAAATAACCATTGCTATTTGCAACCCACCTGGCCTTGTGACTGAATTGAGTCTCTTCTCTACACTTTGTGGTTACTAGAACAGAAACCTCCATCAAGGAAAGATGTAAAGGTCGTGTAAAAGTAGAAGACATCAGGCATAGACTGACTAAAAGACAACATTCTATAGTACTGAGTTCACTCCCGCACGCTGCAGGAGTGTGGTGAATATGCCTCTCAGCCATGTGGTAGCCAATTGACTAATCCCTTCTTTTAGTGTTACACATGCCCTGGTGTCTTGGAATATCCCATGATTCTTTCATGGAAATCCAGTTCCACACTTCATTTGCTGAGTTTTGAGTAGATCCTGATGCCCTAAAGAGCAATGGAGGTGGACATATTTGACGTCTTCTGGCTTCCCTATTGCCATGAGGCAAAAGTCAGACATGCCTCCACACTCCATTCTTCCTTACTTATTGTGTTAGTCTAGGTAGACTAGAGAAGCAAAATTTATAGACATATGTGTATAAGAAAGAGCTTTATATACAAGAGCAATTGAATATTGAAAAAACAATGCAGCCCAGTTCAGATCAAGTCCCTAAGTCCGATAATAACCCATATGTCCAATACCAATATATAAATTCCTCTTCAGAGTCATGAAACACATGTAATGGCTCTGAATGAAGGATGATCACAGGCCAGTGAGTGGGAAGTCTTGTGGATCCAGTGGTATAATCATCTTAGCGCTGGCAGGGGTCTCCACATGTTTCCTGAGTTAGTTCATTGTGCCAACCTGGCAGATAAACACTTGGGATTAATTGAAGGGCAGAGGGATAAATGGGTGGTGAGCCTCGCCTTTGGAGTTCTTGGGTCTCTTGCTTTGTGATGGTCGCACCA